TTTGTGTAATACACTTGATTCGTATGCTCTCTCGTTATACGGACCGAGAATCCGTATCATTGTCAAGCACTCTCATGTTATTGACAAACCATTCCACGAACAATGAAATAATCAATCACTTCGACCGTATATCGGTGACTTACTCTTCACTTCAAACCAGCATTTTGTAACATATTATATATGCTTACGCACCATCCAGTCCCGCCTTGTCCCGTTCGCCGAACTCGGTGGGAGACGGACTTCGTGTCAACGTGCTGGTGATTACTGTGCGCGACCGTGGAAACGTGAGAATATTTTCACGTACCTAATCTAAACACTAAAAACATTCGGTGAAAAACGCATCCTAGTGGTTTACGATGTAGAAATAGCCTGTAGCACGTCTAACGCGTAAAATGTAGATACTTCGATTTGGAAAAACTTGCGAGCCAGAAAGTATAACCAAGTATTTTGGAATAGTAAATAATTTCTCACTCTGTTATTGGAAAAATAAAAATAAGACCGTTATGAAAGTTTTAAATTATGTACGAAAAAAGTTTTTTCTTTAAATGTAGAAAAAAAACAAGTCAATACTTATTCGACACACACACATTTTACCAGAATTAGTTTAAAAAATGTTTTTCACTCAGTTGAATTTACAATTCATATTTTTCAAACCGCGTTTACCGGAAGATTTTAATAGCTATTTAAACACATTTAAAAGTAAATTATTATAATTTAGTCTAGGAGCAAGACTTTTAGTTTATGTCATGATAATAAGCATTTTATTTTGTCGTAGAATATACAATGTACACTAGCCGATAAAATTATGGTAATTGAAAAATGTAAAAAAAAAACGTATACATTAACATTCAAATTTTGTAAATTTTAATTTAGTTAACGAAACTTACAAAATACTCTGTTGTACGTACGCAAATATGTATATTATATGAAACGACAACACATAAAAAAATGTATAACGAATGTATATAACAGCTAAACTTCAAATGTTGCTTCATCTATAAAAATATAACATCTATGATAGCTTTAATTTTGAAAATTATAATTCAGTCCTAAAAATAAACTTTTCCCAAAGTCCAAAACATTAGCCCAAATAAGACTATTATACTATAAGACTTAAGTCTTTGAATATTATCTGACAGGGTATACCCAATTTCGTAAAAATACAAATACCTCTAGTTTTTACCTGCTTACATCGAAGTCTTGATAGAAATTTAAAATGAATAGTATGTTGATATCAAAAAATAAGTCTATAATTTATAATAGTGTGGTTAATTAACCTGATAAGTTAGTTCATTATGATTTTTGAACTAAATTATAATCTATATTCTATAACGTAATTTATAATTTACCGTACCAATTATTGAAATAAATAATACAAACCAATACTCGATCGCAAAACTATTGAAAATTAATTTGTTAATCGAATGGATTCCCAGTAATTAGGTATTTTAAATGCAAATCAAAACAATCTATTGTGATACAAAATTAATATTCTCGAGGCGTTTGCCAGCAGCTAATCTCTTACTGAATACGTAAAAAAAAATGAATTAAAATAATTTTTCCTATTTTTTATATATATATATGTGTGTGTAAACTCGTGAAAATAAGAAATATTCTCTGAATATTCGATTTCACAATATCATACGACATGTATTCGAGAAAACTTGGTTTACGTGCAATGCTTACAAATCACAATATTGTTTTTGTATTAAAATATTGAACAACACAATTAAAGCCATATAGGTGACAAAAAATAATAAAACAATATTTTTTTCATTAAAATTCTTAAATATTATGAATAATATATTAAAATATAACTCCCAATTGATGGGGTGTTCAACCGGTATTCGCCGAATGTATTGGTCTTATAAAATATGTGCACAAAGTATAGGAAAATTTATTTATTTCGAGAAAATGTAGTATTTCGTAAATACGAATAACTATTTAACATTGCAAGTAGGTAAATAAATAAATATTTAATGTGATTTAAAAATACATAGTTCAATTCCGGGATAAAAATTCAGACAAATAAGCTAAACCTAATCACTGTAATATGTATGAAACGATGTTTAGCTAAACTGTTATGTCACATACTGCATAATATATCAAATATTTTACATAAATTGTATACATAATATGTTTTCTAGAAAATGAAACTTCACAGTAGTGTAGTAAACCTTACGCCACACTCGTTAACCATACGTAAACATAATGTCAATAATATATTATTATTAGAAATTTGAGTGATATGAAAATGCAAATATTTTTTAACGAGTTTCAGGACTATAACAGTAATATTAAATATTTATAGTTACAAAATATAATGTTGCATTAATTTATTATTATTAATAATAATATATTTAATATTAATTAAATTTTTCAAAAAATTATAATATATTATAAATAATCATATAAAAATATGTTGTACTTTATGAAGTAGTATTCATGTAATCGAAATGAAAAAAAAAAAATCATTAACTATCAATATTTGTTCGGATTTTTATTCCCATTGTTTGGAACTTTAACACCGGACTTTATTTTACGATTACAAATTCTATTTGCCCAAATCTAGATTTTCGGTTTTTATGTATTCTCTGAGTTATTTTGACCTTTGTATCGCGCTCGATTAGCACTGACAATAAATAAAAAATATTGTGCAGTAAATCACATTTAACATAATATCGACGATATTGTTGTGGCAACTGAAAAACATAGAACGATACTACGATGGTGATTTATAGTATCACACACAGCGTTATTGCAGGAGATTTCATTTTCATTTTCCATTGGGGTACCACCAAAGCATGGCTATATTATA